CTGGTGTGTAACCATACAGACATCCCAGAAATACAGCCACATTGCTGCAGTGGCTCAGGCTAGAAGGCCGGGAGTGCTAAAGCAGCCCTCCCTTCCCTTGTATAATGCTGAACTGAGGAGGGGCATGGCCAGGCCCCAGCAGGATGCTCCGATTAGGGAGCCCCCTCCTCTTCCCCCCCCCGATAACAGACCATTTATCAGCTGTGTTGTCAGCATTTAACCCCTCATCAAAAAGCAATAGTTCAAGCTCTTCTTAAACAACTTTTTTCAAGGAAGGGAACATTCCAAGGTGGGATGTTACCAGCTACCTGTTGATTAGCTCCAAAAAGGACACAGTCTAGTTTGCCTTTGTCCCATCTGCCACAGCACGGACCATAGCCAGCATGTGGCCTGCTAGCTAATGCCAAGAGGTGTCTGTGTAACACAGAGGGGAGCGGGGAATCTCTTCTTAGCAGGGAGTAGTGAGGGGAGGTGGGGAGCAGGGGGAAGCCGGGCGAATGCTCGCAGTCTCTGCCAGAGCTCCAGACAGGGAGTGGAGGGGAGTGGCCAGCTTTGCTATGGAGTAGAGAGCCCTGCCCAGCCCAGAGAGCATGCAGGGATGCTGGAGGAGTCTGGTTTAACTTAAACCAGGAAGAGGCCTGGGACAAACCAGTTTGACCCAAATCAGTAAAGTCTGATGAACTACATCTTGAACTGGTTTCAGCCATTTTCGAACTGGTTTATGTGCACTGAACACCTGTTCTGTTACAGGTTTAAACCAGTTTCTTATTACTGAAACTGGTTTATGTGTAATGTCTGTCCCTAAAAGTCTTGGGGAGAATGTCTCAAATGGAGAGGCCTGACCACATAATACTGCCTATATAGATCTAAAAGGATTAGTTGTAACAACACAGGATTAAATCTAGTGTAGCATTAGTATGGAGTGGAGTACAATTTAAGTTCACTGACACTACCTATACTTTTCAAACTGATATAGCTACTACCAAATTAATAGTTAAAAATTATAATTTTGTTTGTGTTTCAGTTGTGAGAAACATCTGTTGCTTCAAAGAAATATCCAACAGATTTAGCTGTAGCTAGGAGTTTTATGCAGAAGGAAATGAATTCTTGTACGTCACCCCCCATTCTTTTCTGTAAGAAGGATCTCTTCCTTATCTTTTAATCTTCTCTCAGACAAAGGGAAAAAATTATATTACTGGTTTAACCAGTTCTCCCAGGCCCATTCTTACCTTTACAAGGATGTGTCTTGAGACAGGAGGTTATCAGGAGCACCTCTCTCAGGTTCCTGCAGGACTTTTAACTTATCACATATAATAAAAGTTAAATAGTATCTTTCCACTGATTTACTATCTCACTTTGGCAAATAGGTCTTTCCTCTTCCTTTATAGTTTGTTAGGTTATTTTATCCTCAGTTCAACCTTTTCATCTTTATTGACCTAGTTCTTTATTTACACTAATTGTTTTAGCAGCACCCACTGTTTTTACATACTACAGCACTAACTGTGAAGCTCAAAAGGGTTTAATGTGGGAATTTCCTTGCAAGCAAAACCCACAACATTTATTTTTAGTTTAAAAGACATCTCAGATCATTTTGCCCAATTCTTCAGTATCAAGTTTGCCACTGTATAGTTTTTTGTTCAGGATTAAAGTTTACCAACTGACAAGCACTTGCTATTGATGCTCTTCTGGAGTGCATCTTGGTTTCCAGTTCCATGGGTCAGTTTCAGGAATTTTTTCCCTAGAGTCAGTAAATGAACTGCATTTGAAAGCTTGTTTATCTAAGCCATACAGTTGTTCCAATAAAAGATATTACCCCACAAAAATCCTTGCTCCCCTCACCCCCTTAAGAGCATAAAAAATGCTGAACTGAAATCTCCAGAAATAAATTATTAAATTATAGGTCTTGAAAGGATCAACAAACTACCTAAATGTATTTGTATGAGGGCAGAAAGATCTTGATAGTTTGTATAGGGGAGGCAGGGGGGGGAACCCATAATTTTCATCAGTTCTCTTGCTTTTTAAAGTGCCTTTTTCCCCTGTCACAACTTGAAATCCTAACAAGATCTCATAATTACTACCAGCCCTGGAAGATGGTGGATTGCTGTCGCCTGCTCTCAGATGGTTAAGTAGGTCTAACAGTTATTGGAAAACGACCCTCATGAGATTGTCAGAGAACTCAACCTTTCAAATGAAATTTTTTCCTCATTTTTGTTCCAGTTTTGCTTTGGCCTGTTACTTTTATTTTTTTTGTGAGTCTCACCTCTGATGGCAGAATTCTCCAACTCATTTCCAGTATGAACTTTTCTTTCTTTAAGTCAGTATTATAGCACTAGTCAACTGGCCATCAAGAATGAGGAGGGGGAGGGGGCGGAGGGGAGTGGCCCATGTCCCCCACCCCGTTTGGGCCTGCTCCCTGCTTCCCTCTTGGTGCTTGCGGTCCCAGCCCTTTCCCTCCCTCCCTGCCACAGTGGCTGGGGAAGGGGAGGAGCAGCCCCAGGCCCGATGTGGGGGAGGAGAGGGCCTGAGGGTGGGGGAACAGTGGGCCCAGCTGTATGATTACATAATGGTAACCAAAAATCAAAGACACCACTGCTGCTGTGCCCTGGGTGCCTGGCTGGGTCATTTTTATGCCACTAGGAGGAACAGTTTTGGAAGGCAGGTTTAGAATTTGAGATTTATTTTAAGAGTAGCTATTGGAGTCAGCCCATTCTACCTGTGGATGTCACAGCCTACATTATGATTTAATTAACTCAATTTTACTGTTGAACAATACCATGGAGGTTGGCAATGACAATGAATTATCTATGACTAAATTATAAACAGAGACATGTAGTTAGCTGTTTTCCTCAGGCAGAAGGCAGGGCAGGGTGGCACCTTAAAGACTGACTTGTTCAGGAACGTAAAGATAACATGTTGCCGGAGAGATCCTTTGAGGTTGGTGGGTTACCTGTAAGTCAAGGCAGGCTGGTCTTCCAAGGCTACTTTAATGAGATATGCTGTCATTTACCAGGAGTGTCTATCAAGACTCTCTGCTCTCATACAAATATATTTAGGCAGTTTGATGATCCTAACTGCTTTATTTATCTGCTTGGAAATCTCTTCAATCCACCTTAGCCCCTCTCAGTAGTGCCATTTCCACCTATCCTTTATATTTAAATTACTACTTTCTATTTAGTACACCTGCTCTCTGTAAATCCATTCATAGCATCCAAAAGTAAGCTGTCACTTAAAAAAAAAAAAAAATTAAAGAATTTTGCTTTGCACTCAAAAAGATAATTCTGGGAGATGGAAAGGTTGATCATCTATGTCTATTTGGGCCATGAAAAGTCAAGAGTACCCAATGCTTTGCAAGTATCAGCTGGCTTGACAACACAGGGAGTCCTTGACTTAAGACTGAGTTCTGACTAATGGCATTTACAACCTTAATAAATGGGCATCCTGGTAAGTCTGTTGTGGTGGAAGGGGCGGAGGCAGATCAATGCCCTGGCCGCGGAAGGGCTAGGGCTGGGGCAAGTGCTGCCCAGCTGGAGTAGGGGGGTAGCAGGACGAAGGCACAGCTTGTCTGAGAGGTGTGGGAGGAGGTGGGGCAGCTCCCACTTCATGCTGTTGGTCCGGGAGGGCACAGGGCACATGTGCCCCTTGATCTACACAGGGCCAGCGAAGCCAGGGCTGCACTGCATTGCACTCTGGGAGGGCATGGTGGCACTGGGAGCAGGGGCTCTGCTGCTGCCACTGGACCAGCCATGGCTGGGCAGGCGGGGGTGCCGTGGCTCCTGCTGCTGTGCACCACTTGTCCAGAGGTAGCGCAGCGGCTGTCCCGCCCCAGCTGGTCCAGAAGTGGCATGGCCTAGCCCCCGCTCCCAGTGCCTACCCAGAGGGCAGCGCAGTGCAACTCCAGGCCCACCTGCCCCGCATAGATCCAGGGGCTTCCCCCGTGCCCTCCGGGACCAGCAGTGTGCAGCAGCAGGAGCTGCCTCCCCTCCCCCCAGACAAGCTGTGCCTTCATCTTGCGCCCTGACATTTGACTTGCAACATTGTTTTCAGGAACCAATTGTGTCGCAAGTCTGAGGACTGCCTGTACTCAAAGGATGAATTCACTAGCATGAATCGGATCCTATAAAATACCTGGGATTAAAAAAAAGACACTTATACCCCTGCAAAATGGTTTCTCCAATTGTGGGGCCTATAGAATGTTTTAGCAATGTTGAGAAGGTATGCATTATATAATAAAATTGGTAACATGGAAGCTATTTCTTCTCCATATTTCCTGAGACGTTCATTGCAACAACTTCTTTATCTAAGTTTTTCATCAAAATTTGCTCCTTGAATAAATTTTTCATATGTTAAATGTAAACTTGGTACAATAAAAAGCATGCAAATGTACTGAAAAAAATCTGTATAGCGAACAGCCTTTTAAGTTTCATTTGCACAATGCTTTCACTTAACATTAAAAGGTAATTTATCTCACAGCCTAAGGCAGGGGTCAGCTATGTGTGGCCTGCAAAGCCACTGCATCTAGCCCATGGAACCAGAAGGCTTTGCCTGTACCCGTGCTGGGCAGCTGGAAGCTACTTCCATGTTGCTGCTACTTCTACCCATCCTGTGCGAGTGTGTGTTCACATGTGCATGCAGGCATGCTTTGGGCTTGCAGGTGGACAGGAAGGGGTAGAAGAGGCAGCAACATGGGAGCAGTTTCCAGCTGCCCAGCTTGGCCCCAGCGCAGCTTCTTCAGCTGGAAGCTGGGTTCACACTGCAGTTAGGGAGCAGGGGGTGCTGGAAGAAGCAGCAGTTCTGCAGAAGCAGTTCCCAGCTGTGCGTTTTCAGCTGGGATGCAGGGAAAACCCCCTTGCTGCTGATGTACCATGGAAGCTACCAGGCCTGTGCAGCTACTTCTAGTCTGAGGCTCAAACCCCACCCCCCAAAATACAAGGTTGTCAGCCCATGTGTTAATGCGACCATTCCTTCGGGGCGGAAAACACAAAAAACCCATCACAATGATATGCTTCCTTGGTCCTCCATTTATTTTGAGAAATACAAAATACGAAAATTAGTTTACAGTTTCAGCACAAAAAGTACTTATGAACAAGCACAAGATGGAATGTTTTAAAAATAATCCTATACATTGTTACCATTTAAAAGTGCCTAGAGTTTTTCACAGCAAACAACCTTACAGTTTAATTATATTTTAGTAAAATATTAAATTACTTAAATTGCACATAAACACCCTACAGAAAAATATAGCTTGTGTAATGTTATGATTAAGTCTGAATTTAAAACAGTAATTAGAAGCTACATGGAATGGAAGAGAAACATTTTTGGTTCAACTCTCAAACCTAAACTAAGTTGAAAACTGATCAAGAAAAGGCATATGATGTTGACTAGTTATGGCACTAGTGATTAAATTATGGTCATTTGACAAAAGGTGGTAAAAGGTTGTTTTGTTTGATTCTTCACAGATCAATTTCACTACTGAAGTTTTTAGATGCAGGTTTCTTTATTAAATTTAGCTGCAAGTAAGAACCTGTAGGCAAGTTTGCATAGTACTCTTGTTTTCAGCTCCCTCCCACCTTAAAAATGCGTAGGTTACTATTTGTTACAGTAACTTAAAAAACAGAAATTTAGGTTAAAACATTTTAGATTCTTGTAACCCAGGGGTATAAAAGTCATCTGGCCCCGCAGGCCAGATAAGCAGTTTGGGACCAGTCCACAGGCTGGATGAATGGTGTGGGACCAACCCTCTTGGCTGGGTCAGGCCCATGTATTCCCCTTGCCCTGCACATGAGATCTAGTACACAGTGCCCACTCTGGTTGGTCCAGGACAAGACACAACATGTGGCACCTGCTATAGCCAATCAGGGACCCAGTGGAGAAAGAGCCTGGCATCCTAGGTACTTTGCTACTGCCACAGAAACAAGCTGTGGTGCTGCTGGACCTCCACTGCTACTATTTTCACTCATGTGCCTGGCAGCCAAGCAGGTGCCCCAGCAGCACCGTGTGAAGTCTGGCACTGCTGCTTCTTCCCACAGCTACAATCAAGTGCCTGGCCACAAGCCGCAACACTGGAGTCCCAGCAGCACTGCAGAAAGAAACCTGGTATCATGGGTGCTTGGCTGCTGACAGGAATCAGCCACAATACTGGGCTTGATCCCAGTGGCTGCTGCCTGGGTGGCTGGCTGCTGCACTAGGAAGGTCGCTTATCACAGCCAGGATTGGGACAAAAAGTCTGTGGACCAGATGACCTGGCTCTGTGGGCTGAATTCCACCTGTGGGCCATCTGTTTGACACCCCTACTGTAACCAATTACTGAATTCGATTACAAAATGTCATAATACTAATGCATGTGAAGTCTGTCAATTAGTAAGTAAGCCAAGTGCAGTAGTTTGCACCAGCAAAAAGAAGTAACCCTTGGATGTTGAGGGCTTTTTTAACTTGGTTCAAGCAACTTCAATAGCCAGAAGATCCAATCTATAGAGACTTCCATACAGTAAGAAGCTTTACTGAATATGCAGTGTTACATATAAGCTTAAGCCTCTGCACGAGTGGATCATAGTATCAAATTCATCCAATAGTCTCTTACTTCTTAAAACACCTCTGCCTCATAATTCATCATCTACATCCAAGATTTACAAAGTGACTAGTTAGTCAAAGCCCAGTTTGAGAAACTTTAAATTTGCTCTCAGCACTTTCTTTAGAAAAGTAAGTATCCTTTACCATGTCAAGTTCAGCACTGAGAAACTGAGGCACTCAGGATCTCTAGTTATTTAGAAAACTTGGCCTTTATGCTTCTGATGCAAGTCACATGCTCTTTAGTTCAGTAATTGACTTAAAAACATTTAAATAAATCATGCATTTGATTCATATCTGAAACCTACACATTAATAAGAGAGATCATAGGATCCTAACAGCATAGCTGTGTTGGCTTTGAATAACCATGGAGACATCGATCACAGAGGTTATCCTAAATGCTTTGTAATATGCAATCTGTATTAAGCAGCATAAGATAGTTAATGTATATGCAGAACAGATTATTCTGCTGTAAGAAACTCAGCTGTTTAGAAATGCAACAACACTTACTATTCTCAAAACTAATCATATGATTAGAGGCATGCACAACTTCAAACATATTTATTTAGAGACACTAGTTGGCAGGGACCCAAACTTTAGGTTTTGTAAACATCTCACAAAACCTAATCTACATCCCAAGGAGAGTGAAATGGTTTAAAATGTTTTGCCGGCCAGTATGAATTTTCTTCTATGTATTTGTAAAATGAACCTTGTAAAATGAACTGTGCCAGTGCAAAAAAAACCAAAAGTAAAAATGGATCAATTACACTGGGTGGAGGAAAAGCTTTGCTGTTACATTTGAAGTTCTTCCACAATTAATGATCAAAATACAAAATTATCCTACAGCATCCCATTAAACAATTCTTTAGGAAGAGGGTTTAAAATTATGCAAATGCTCTCTCATTAAAAACAGCAGCAATTTTGTCAAATATCTGGTTAGAAAACCATTTCTTGTCAAGTGCAAATACCAAATTTTACTAGCAGTTTTAAATTTAGACTTCTGATTGATCATGGAAAATCTGACATCTAAGATGTAGCAGTGCTAACAAATAAGAAGGATGCAGCTTTTGCAAAAAGACTCATCATAGGCACTTACTGTAATCGTCCATTAAATGAACAGTATATACTGCACCCTCTTTATACCATCATTGTTATAAACAAAGCATTTTCAATGTTAGAAACTTTAAATTGTTAGAAGATACTGTTGTATTCACTGTCCTCTGGTACAGATGTAGAACAAAATTGACTCATTACAATGTACATATAGCAACAGCTAAAACAGAGAGAGAGTACTTTTAAACCAGACCTTGCCATCCTAAAAAAAAGAGTGTATTCATATCCAGGAATAACAATTAACCTGGAATACCACTTTGACACTGTGAAAGCTACATTCCTGCTACTGGAAGAGTATCTGCTATTTTTACACTTTAATTACAACCAATTCTATCATCATTTGGCTCATTGTTTGCAGTCTTTTTAAAAATGTGCACAATGACAGCATCGGAAGCTACCTTCCTCTCCAGAGCAAAACTGGCAAAACAAAAGGAAAGGGAATAAATTAGAAGATTATAAGTATTCAAACAATTATGACTTTCACGGCCATTTTAAACACTTATGTACTAATGATTTGATTTTCTATTTTTAAGACGCTATATATCAGGAAGCCAGAAAAAATTGTATCTCCTAGCGTTTCTCTGTAGGAAATGGGTTCTTCATCTCCCTTTAGAGAGTATGCATCAGTATAGCATACCTCTTAACTAGTCCCACACTGAGAAGGCTTGGATCATACAAGAATTTCCACCATTTAAGGTTCCCATACCCATCATAATGGTGCACGATGAATATAGCAAAAGAAGCCATTACTGACAGACAGATCTTCAGACTTACTGTCAATGAGAAAAAGTTATCATTCAAATTAAAATGTGGTCTTGGAAGTCCCAGTTAGCAAGGGGAGTTCAAAACTTCTTCAGTTGAGCGCGTCATGGTATTCATTCTTACCTGTAAGCACCACCAAAATAAGAAAACCGAAGTATTTGTCCAGAATTACCAGCAATACCTCACTATGAAATTCTACTCTTCTTGAACAAACCTCAAACATTACTGCAATTTAAACCACTGAAAAAAAAAATCTTTAAAATCTAGTTCTCTTTCATACTTTTGCATAGTTTGGCATTTTCTGGGGTTGTACTTTTGTTTTCTTTTATTTGCTTTTCACACGAACTCATCCATCACATATCCAAATGCCTTTATTCTAGTCTTCAGGTAAGAAATTCAGTCCAATTTAGCAGCAAGCTGTCCAATATTATGTGACCTTCTGATTCAAGGAAAGTTATTCAGTTTTATCTGTGCTTTCAGATTTTTCCCTTTGTATCATGCAGCGACGAACTATGCTATCAAAACTTCCTAGGTAAAACAAACCAACAATGCGAAAAATGCCCATGCAAACCATCTGCAAGTAGAGAGAGAAAGACAGCTTTCAGTTTATTCAACATACCCTTTGTAATAACTTGTATATATAATACAGTGCTGTTGCAGGCATGCAAGCAATACAAATGGAAAAAAATGAACCCAAAGTTTACTGGAGACTCATGACATCATCATCATTGTATATAATGGTTGGAGAGTAAGTAGCAAGAAGAGCTTAAAACCATCCCAGTGCTAATCTTAGCTGTGGTACCAACTTGTGGCTTTGAGGGGTAGGGAAGTACTTCCCTGTGCTACATAGTCTTTATATGTAAATATCTATTATTCTGACAAGGTAGAAGAAAATGTTTAAAAGTACTTTGAAAATACAGACTATATTCTGTCCTAGTAAATAAATACAGTTAAGAAAAAACAAACAAACCACAGCCTCTCTATATCTTACCTGCTGAAGCCCTTCAGTAATGGAAGTTACTGGTGACATTCCACTGGTCAGTATTGACAGCATGTAACCATCTGAACCAACAGAACTGTTAAAATTCCCTTGCTGGGCGGGAGAAGAAAAAAAATTCAGGAAGTTATGCACTATGCCAAGTTATGCTTTAAGAAAGTGTTATCAATACAAACAGGCTTATTTTATTTTGTTCTTGCTGAGACTGTATTGTGCTATACTGTAGCACAACAGAAGGATTATTATAGAAAATGTTCTCAAATTCAGTGAACTAATCAATTAGTCTAAAGAGAAATGGCTGCTCAAGCGCATGCAGATTTGTTCAAAACAAAACTCAATGAAGGTAGGAGAATCTGATGCTGTCCTGGAAGCAAAGCAAGCTCACATGTGGGAAAGAAAACCTCAGAATCCCAACTATTCAAGTTGTTTTTCTCTGCTTGTAAACATACTTTAGAAAGATAGCTCTTGAACTCTCCAACTTTGCCGGATTTTTTAAGACTAATATATATACCTGGTGGTTTTTGGAAGGCAGAACGTAGGCGGAGGGAGGGGGAAATGGAGGTAAATCCTCCTGGGAACACAGGCTGTCCAGGAAGTGTGGCAATCAGGAGACAGTCTGGGTGTGGCAACAAGAAGTATAGAAGTTCTTGGTGTGTAAGTTTTGGGTACATGCAGTAGCATAACTAGAGGTGGGCAAATGGGGCATAAAAAGAAAAACAAAGAAGAAACAAGATCCCAAAGTGAACAGGCCATCTCAGGGAAGTCTGAAAAAAACTCTAAGGGTAAGTTACCAAAGGCAAGGCTACTTTTTAAAATGCGCACCAGTAAAACAGACCTATGATCCCCATCCCTTCCCAGCTCCAGGGCATAGCCTTTAAGTAGTATTACAGTAACTATTATAACACCAAATTGAGCACATAGAACACAGCTAAAAGATTCAGGCTTTTCAAATGTGTGTCCACCCTATCCATAAATACTGGATGCAATTTGATTATATGAATGACACATTGAAAACAGCGTTATTGCATTTTCATGAAAAAAAAATCTCCCATCCAACAGAATAGTAAGATTGGGTTAGACAGCGTTACTAAAGAGAGAACTGTAGTGGGCCGATTAAGATTCCTCTTTATACAAAAGAAAATAGAAACTAGTTAAAGAAACATTCCATCTTTTTTTACTGAAGTTTTTCTGGATAACTCTCATGTATAACAGTTTAAATGTGACTTAGAGTGCAAACATTTTCCCCTCCACCCTAAAAAAAAAATTAAAAAAATAGTTGTTTAATTTTTCTGGCCATAGGATTCACACTTATCTAAAAGTTTAGCAAAATAATAAAGTATGTTGGCAAACACTTACAAAAACCCACAGTTAAAACACCATCTCTAGGTTTACATATCAAGCTTTAAGATATAAGCCATTCTGCTCTATCTAGATTTAGAAAAGAATTACTCTTGGGATTGAAGTTCCCAGACCTTATAAATATATTAATTTCATATTTGTTTAATTGTTTAAGTAGCTGCAAGCAAACATAAAGAAGCATTCTCATGACACCTTTGTCATTAGTTACTGTTCAACACTGTCCCCAGTGATGCCCATTTTTTTCTTTAAACATGAAGATGGCACAAGGTGTCCCAGGGACTGAAGAGATTCTGGAAAAGCTGATGGCTACTATGCCAGTATTTTTTGCATTATCATTCACAAAACAGGCACTCAAGTTTTCAAAACAAACTAGAATACCTTGTCTTAAGAGTCAGATGAACAGTCATTGAACTAAAATAGATAAATAAATGATTCAAGAAACTCTTCATGGGATTAGGCCAATTTCCTTTTACTATGTTTGATGCATGACAAGCCACCAGGATTTCAGTTTTTAGAACACGTCATAATTCAGGTCAGAACCTTTTTCTAACATGACACAGCTGTATCATTTAAGTGCTATTTTATGAGTAGGAACTCCAGGTACACACTAGCTCCAGGGAATTAAGTGAAAGATTGTTTCTGAAGTATTTATTGTTTAATGGGAAAAAAATATATATTCACATTCCTAGAAAAATGAAAGAGTAAAATGCCATGTAGATTATATTTATTTGTCCCATTAAACCTTTCTACAGGGTTTTCTTGAACCCCTTCATATTCCATTCCCCTCCCAAAGATCTTAATTAATTAATTTACTTACTATGGCATCTTTGACAATAATTCTGGCCACCTGTTCTGCTTGGCACACAGATGACGTTTCCGAAATTAGTTTGGTCTCTAGAGGCTGTGGTAGAAAATAAATATTATTTATACTGACAGCACACAGGAAGCAAAAATACTGAAGTTACCATTATTCGTTGTGACATGAAATTTGCCTGCAGAAGGCTTAAGTGAATTAATTTACGCTGTCTCTACTGCCCCATCAGATGACATTGCGAATTGCAGCAGCTGATGTTCTATTTGAATGCCTTAAGGGATATATACACTTCAAGTCTCTTATTTAGATCAGAGGCGCTCAATCCCTGGCCTGTGGTGGCACCTCTTCCCTGCAGCCAAATTTCAAGTCCCAAGGGAAGCCCTGGGCCCTGCATGCTGGATTGAGTGCCCAATCCGAGCTCGCAGGGTTTGTGCCAGACCTCCAGGGGCCCAGTCCCAGCACGTGGGACCAGGCAGAGGGCAGTGCTGGGCTCCAGCCAGCCAGCAGACTGACCTCAAGTCACTCATCTGGCTCAGGGGGCCAAAAGGCTGAGCCCCCATGATTTAGATAATTTTTGATCCAACAGATCTGTTGCAAACAAACAACTGAAAGTTGCTATTGTGTATTTCTGAAATTTAAATCTCAGTCCAAATGGATCCTGGCACTCAGTAAACCAAGCACTGGCAATCCACAGCCTGCAGGCAGAATCTGGCCAGTGAAGAGACTGGATACAACTTGTGACAGGCTGGGAAATCAACAGCTTGCTGCAGCCCCATGTCTGACTGCTTGTCATAGTCTATTTCCTCCATAGCATCTGCTCACTGCCAGCCCTTCCTTTCCAATTCCTACAGTGCTTCAAAATTTTCAGCCTTTCTATGGCTGAGGGTCGGGAGGAGGGCAGAGATCTGTAGCCACGGTAGCTGGCCAGGTTGCAAGGAGTGGCTTATGACTGCCTGGTAAACATTTATCTACAAATAAGAAACTTCATTCAGTATTTGTTTTTCCCCACATAAATTTAGAATATGAATATATGGTAAGCTTCATAAATGCATGGATGCGGTGTATCTTTCGGTTTAAGAAAAAAATAGTAGCACCAAATGTAGGGGGAAATCCTATTCCACCTATTAGATGCCAAAGTGGACCTAGATGCCTAACCATGACACTAACACCCTGCGCTTAAGCCCATGTAAAAAAATTAAGCAGCTATCATCTTAACCTTAAACTGCAGTCACAACCTCCCTCTGCCCTCCCCACTACCCCACCAAAAAAACAAAACAAGATAAAATAAACAAACAAACAAAACGGAGTAGGAGGACAACCCATCCCACTTTTACATAAATTGTTCTTTCAGGGACTTGAGCAGGGAATGGGGAATATGATCCCACACAGGCAAAGCCCACTTAAGCACCTAATAGATGGAATACAATCTGTCTCTTATTTTCAAGGCTATTTGATTACAAGTCCACGTTTGGCCAGCCAATGAAAAACCTTCATTAGGAAAATAAATGAAGTACAAATACATTGGAAAATTAAAAT